CAAGGAGGAGATCAAGGTTTCCACCACCAGCTTCAGACCCGGGGCTCTGCTGATGACTCTGGAAAAAAATGACAGGACAACGAAACTTTTAATTTTTCTGCACGACCTGTTATTATTCAGCTGCTTTTCCTCTTGCCTGGGCTGCAGTGAGGCTGACACAACCCTCCTCTACCTGCAGGCAGCGTTCAGAGACAATTAGGGACTTATCTGGACAGCCAGAACATCCCCAGTCACATTAGATGGAATTCAAACCGTGTCAGACACCCCGTCAGCAGAGTTGGGCTGCTGCTGGTCAGAGTAGGGAGGGAAGACTCTTTATGGGCAGAATATCCCAGAGTTCCCATTATGGGGCTGTTTGTACCTCTGCCCAGAGAGGTGACCCCTCTGAGGAGGGTCTGATCCAAGCAGAGGGGCCCAAATCAGGCAGGAACCTCCTTGCTCTCACAAGTGTGAACAGATTTACAGTGGTACTGGAGACTCTTTCTGCAGGTGGAAGAGTAGAGGCCTGGGCCCCGTGACAACTTTTGAAACAAAGGAATTCCAGTTTGCTTCCTAATTAGTTCCTGAGCTGCCCCTGAGCTGCCAGGACCCCCGTGAGCAGCAGCTCCACAGCCAAAGGGTAAATCCCATTAGGGAGCAGGTGAGAGGCCTGGAGTGCCCTGAGGCAGGTTTTGGGTATTTTGGAGAACCAAGTGTGTTGCTGCCCTGCACGAGTGCCTGGAGGATGGCTCTCCCATGGGTGTCTCAAAAATGTGCTTGCACACCCAGGTGAAACAACCCCAAGCAAGCTGTTCTGGGAAGGGGAAGTGGGTGTTTTAGCTGAAGAACATCCAAGCTGGTTTTAGGAGGGGTCTGTGGAGGGGACAGGGTGAGTCCTTGCAGGGGGCTGGAGCTCACACGGAATGAGGTCTTTGTGGCTGCCAAGCCCAGGGAAAAGAGCAGAGCTGTGTCTGCAGGGACAGGGCCTTTCCTGTCGGAGAGAAATCGTGTGGAGCCTGAACTGCACCTCCAAAGTGTGAGGAATGGTCCCTGGAGTAATGCAGGGAGAGGCTGTGCTAAGTGAAGCCATAGTGAGAGGTGATGAATTCCTTTCTATTCATAGGAGCTGGCCTAGTTATTCTCAAAGACTAATTTTCTCTTTTCCCTTTGCCTTTCCTCAGGAACTGCCTATGCCCTGAATTCTGTTCCTGGTTATGTGGGTCAGGCAAGTGCCCTGAGGAGCTGCCAGGGTGACCTGGCCAGGGTAACTCAGTGGCACCTGGTGAGCCAGCACTGCCAGGGGACCCTGATGCCACCAGCAGAATAGAGCATGGGAGCAAGAGAGGAGACAGAAACCCGAAATGACGTGTCACTGAGGAAACACAGAGCAGCAAAAAGCTGCTGTTCTTGTGGTCCTGGGCCTAAAACATTGGCTCTTCCTATCACTCTCACAAGCATGGCTTTGCACCAGAAAGCCTGCAGGTTTCTGGAGGTTTCCCATTTCCCCTGAAATTTCCTTTTAAAAAAGGTTTGTGTTTTCTTGCCAAGCAGGATGGAAATAGAACAGGAGCCGGGAGTGATAACAATCCCCCCAAGCAAGATCACTCTTTGTTATTGCATAATCACAACCTCAACACAAATTCTCTTTCCCCCTTTTCTCCAGCACTGAAAGCTCTCCCAGTCTGGCTCTGGCTGAGGGAAGGGATTGTTGTGCAGTGCTCTTGGTAGGAATGGGAGAGCAGGGAAAGATGCTGGAGCTTCTCAAATCCTTGTCAGCACCTGTTCAATGGCAAATTCTCTGCCATCCAACAGCAGCTCTTTGCTGGGGAGGGGGGTTGTGCAGCTGAAGAAGGAGCCAGACTGATTTGTAAAACCCTGATAAAAATGCAGTGTGGAGGAGGCACTGACTGCACTCACTGCCTGAGCACGATAACACCTCTCACTCCCAACTCCAGCCGCTCGTTTCCGAGCTGGAGGAGATGAATTATAACTCATTTCAGTGTTTTCAAACAGTTTCACCACTTTAGTGCTCCCCAAAGATGCTTCTCCTCATATTGCAGTTCAGTTTTTCCTGTTATTAAGCCAGACCTTGATGGATCACGTGCATTTTTTCAATCTCTTCGGCGCACCAGCACATACCGGAGAGGTCTCAAGGTCCGCAGAAGTCTCAAAACTCGAAGGACACCCAGGATTTTGGCTCCTCCTGCTGATGCCATGGACACAATAATGTCAATGATAGACACAAAGACCAGGACTCCGTCCAGAACGTTCCAGCTGCTCTGCAGGTAGGTGTTCTCCCCAGAGAAAAAGCCAAGAGCTACCACCTACAGCCAAGAGAGGACAGACATTTAAATCTACCCCCAGATCATAACCATGCCACGTTCTGGTCTGTGCCAGGCCTCGCTGTGGGCCATGGAATGAAGGTGGAATTACCTTAACCATCATTTCAGCCACAAAGATGGCAGTGAAGATGTAATTAGAAACGCTGAGGAATATCCTTTCCTGTCAAACACGGAACAACAAAGAGAGGCAGAGTTAGAAAACAAATATCTTTTTCTGTTGCAGGGTCTTGCCCTGAGAAGATGAAGATGGGGATGGGGGATCGAGGAAGGAAATGACCCAGGTGCTCACCGTGCTCTGTGGGTCTATGTCTGGTCTCTCCAGGGCAATAGTGATGCAGTTGAGAAATATAAAGACCAGCACCACGTGATCAAACATTTTGTGGGCGATGACCTTCTGACACATGGCCCGGAACCTGAGGAAATGGTGCGGAGAAAAATGGTCCTTCAGGTGTTTGGGGCAGTAAGAGATTCCTGCCCAAAAGCCTTCTCCGAGTACACTATCCCATCACCACAAAAAAACCTGCTGGGCTGGCGTTTCACTGCGAGTTCTTACCGATTCTGGGGGGAAAACAAGTAGAGGGACCAGTCTTCGTGAGTCTTGCACCACTGGGGTTTGTAGGGCTCCAGGGCTTTGCGGATCCGGTAGCAGTAACTCTGGATAAAAACAGAAGAGACATCTTTTCTTCCTCTTTTATTTTCCTGCCTCTTCAACTTTCACGGGTTTTTTGTGAAAGGGGGGGAGGGGGGAGGCAGTACATGGGGTTTCACAGCGCCTGTGGGCTGTCACAGCTTTTGGGACAGGGCTGTGATGGGTATTGTGTGATGGGAACAGGGAGGAAAAGGGGTGGAAGAAGGGGCTGCTGTGGAGTGACATATAAACATGGCTTCTAGGCAGGTGTTGTTTTGACCCCCAAAGCTGTGCCAAAACCAAAGAGGCCTGAAACAGCCAAAAAGCTAAGCAGAAAACATTCCTTTCAGACTTTCAAGATGTCAAACAGCTCTTGTGAGTAAAGACATTCACTAGCTGTTTTGTCCACAGTTTATTTTTGGAGGCATCCTGGGCCAGGGGGACATTCTTAATCAGTCCCCAAACGAGGCAAATGGATGCACATCCCCTTGTGGGAGACCACTGCAACAGCCCAACTCGGTGGCTCAAAAAAAGAGAGATCTTTTAGGAAGTGAAGGCCCATCTCTTGGATCGGATTGGTGTTCCCTACCCCAGCCACGAGGCAGCGACACCTTTCCATGGTGGATTTTTAATCAGCCCTCATGGGAACCCCCAACCTCCCCGCTCCACTCACATCCTCCATGTCGTCCTCGTAGTCCAGGGCGTCCTCCTTGTGCCCGTCGACGCGCAGGAAGAGCTCGCTGGGCACGTGCACCATCTTGCCGTTGCAGTCCTGGAACTCGGGGGGCAGCGCCACGGGGCTCACCCCGAGCGAGTGGCGCACGGGGGGCAGCTGGAGCAGCTCCGGCAGCTCCAGGGAGCTGCGGTAATCCAGCGACTCCGCCCGCCGGTGCAGCGAGGGCCGGCTCACCGTGCTGGACTTGGCGTCATCCGAGTCGTCGTCGGTGCTGCCCTTGCCCTCCCCCGAGAGCAGGGACTCCCTCTCTCCTGACTGGTTCTTCTTCTTGAGGCTCGGGGCTCTGCCCAGGCTGTTCCAGCTCGAGCGCCGGCTCCCCCAGTTGCTGCTGGTGCCCCAGTTGGCGCAAGGGGAACTGCGGAGGCTGGACTGGGAGAGAAGAATGACACTTGAGGGTTTGCTTGCAGGAGGCAGCTGAGGGATCAGAGAATCATAGAATAGATTGGGTTGGAAAAGACCTCCAAGATCATCAAGTCCAACCCCTGCTCCAACTCCAATTACTATATCATGGCACTAAGGGCCACGTCCAATCTCTTTTTAAAAACCTCCAGGGATGGTGAATCCACCACCTCTCCGGGTAGGCTGTTCCAATGCTTGATTACCCTCTCTGTAAAGAATTTCTTCCTAACATCTAACCTAAACCTCCCCTGGCAGAGCTTGAGCCCATGTCCCCTTGTCCTATTGTTGGTTGCCTGGGAGAAGAGACCAACCCCCACCTGGCTACAACCTCCCTTCAGGTAGTTGAAGAGAGTGATGAGGTCACCTCTAAGCCT